GCTATTTAGGCGTATTTTGAACTTTTCGGATTTTCGGAGATAAAAAGGCGCGACAGAACTTTTTGATGTAATTTTCGAAAAAGGTTCATTGAAAGGGTCCTTTAGAAAAAATAAAACGAATTACGAAATTTTGAATCTGTCGGCGGATTCTTATTTACGGTCAGAGGCTCTTAAACATTAAAAGCTTTACCGCCAACATTTTTATGTCTATCCCTCCTAAAAATTCTGTCGCCAGCGTTGGAGGAATCTTCACCGATTTCCGACGTTAGCCAAGTGTAGGTTCAGACAACACTATAAAAATTGGGCAGGCAGATACAAGTGAGTTTACAATATATATGAGCAAAATGGCCATAGTAAAGAGATTTTAAAACTGATGGTGAAGTTTGCAGCGTTAGCCTTTCGTCATAGCTATTCGAAGGACTAACGAAGGGCTAACGCTCGAAACATTAGAGACGTCAAGATTTTAGGACGTCACCTGTCTAGGACGCCACCGGAAGTTGGTTTTCACCAAGAAATGACACTGCCCATGTCTGTGTGTGAATGGACGCCGTTTCACAAGTGCTGAGTACGCCATTATTTAAATTTCGCGTCGTGCACACAACGTGAGTATGTTTTTGTTTTTGGAGCTCAAATAATTCATTTCTTTCGCAGTTTTCGCTGTTCTTTTGTATAATCTATTGTTAACAGTGCTTGTTATTTCATAGAGAGACGATGGATTCCAGTTCCGGGTAAAGTAGACTCTACATGTTTTCCTTATTAACAGAATGGAAACATTTATCATGTTGAGCATCAATTTATCATATCATGTGAGAGGTCGGGTGATGTAAGTAGAGTGTATTTATAATCAGAAGTCAAACTCGCAGTTTCTACATGGAGCCCAATCAAAAGTTATCGAGGGCTGCGATCTTTTTTTTTGAAGTCTCAACACATTTTCCTCCTGATTGCCATTTTTACCATTTTATCCATGAATTGGTAATTTACTGGTTACTTTTATGCCGTTTCCGGGTTCTGTCCTGGTGTACCGGTTCACAAGGGAATTACCATTGTTCTTTCTTCGTTTAGGAGTCATTGGTTAGCTGTTGTGTATTGTTCGGTCTTTTGTATCGGCTCTTGTGAACCGGTACACGAGGACAGAACCCGTTTCCGCGGCTTGAGAATAGATATTTCGGAGAGCTTGTTTTCTGGACAATTACAGTAATATATTTATTTCTCGGCTTACCTTTAAAGTGATTTGAGTCTCACGTAATTGAGAACGGCCGTCCGTAAATATCGCCTGGAGGTGTGCAATCAAGGTAACACGGCAAAATGTTATTTTTTACCTGGTTTTATTCGTTTTTTATTCGCTAGTTTGAATTTCCGCCATTTTGTTTTTGAGTATTGTTTACCGCTGACGCTTTCTATCGCAAGAGAGCGACGAAGGCGCGAGAGTTTCAGGACGAGTCCCGGAGGGGCGAGAAATAACGGGGAGTGAAACCGTTGGAATTCGGCCGTTAGAAACGTGTTGTAAATTGCTAGGAACAGCGCTCGTTGCTAGGAACAGAAATGTAACAGCAAGAACAAATTCATAATGGATCGCGAACTACTTTCAGGCTCGACTTGCAGTGATTTCCATAACAAAGTGTAAGTATTTAAAGTGTTTATTATCGTTCAGAGTTAATCTACTCGCTTTCAAATTTCAAAACAAAGAAAACCGTCGGAATGACAAGCATACAAGCCTTTATTTTGAATTTTTCCAGCAAAGTAACTTTAAATATTTTTGTATTCAACAGAACATTAGAAAACTTTTGTGAAAAGACGGGTCACACTGTTACCGTTGACAATATATACGGAAAATTTCAACTTGAATGTAAGAAGGACGGCCAGCCTATTCAAAACAGAGCAACATTTGGAAGACTACTTCTAAGAGCCATGCCTTCTGTCGTGAAAAAGAAGAAGAGAATTTCTGGAAATCAGCTGTATCGAGCCAAAGGGTTGCGAGCCTCGATGGATGGCTCGAGCGATAGCTTCCAACTTTTCAACCAGTTCGCGGCTCAGCATCGACACTTCATCGACAACAAGAACATCGCAACTATTTCATCTCCTCTCTGCTTCTGCATTAGCTTTAATGGCACAAATTAGTTCATGAATACTTTTTGACCCAGTACCGAAACCAGCGAATGAATGTATGGCTATGCCACCGATGTTCTGTGCAGCGATGGCAGTTGGTGCTGTTACAAAACAATGTAGTCCTTTCTGTCGAATTTTCTCCATGATACATCGCAGAAAGAACGATTTTCCACTGCCGGCTTTTCCAGATTCAAAAACACTATAACTCTTTCAATAATTCTTTCCACTTTCCGCTGATTTTCACTTAAAATCGCCATAACTTCTTGTTACATGTTTGTTTATATTTCTAACGCTTCGCGCCTTCGACCAAAATTCTGTACGAGCTTAGTTTGGCGCCAAATTTGCCACCACATGACGTATTTTGTTGCCATGGCAAGTACAACGAGCGTCATGAGAAGTACACGCCCCCTGATTATGGCTTTAATAATTTTTGATTGGTTGAAAAGAGTCACGCCCCCCCCACCCCCAAATGTTTCACTCCCCGTTATTTCTCGCCACTCCGGGGCTCGTCCGGAAATCTCTCGCACCTTCGACGCCCGCCTGAGGTACAAACCGTCAGCGGTAATTAATAACCAAAAACAAAATGGCAGAAATTCAAACTGGCGAATGAACAACAAATAAAACCAGGAAAAAAAAAAAAAAACATTTTGCCGTGTTCCCTTGGTGCAATATGAAAAAATCGAAAATTCCCGAACTTTGCCAGAATATAGGTCTTGATGAACTACTTCTAGAAAAAATACTTTGAGTTCAATCGCATTTTTATTTTTCGCGAACGGCGGCAAAATCGGTTTCGTGGTTCTCACGAGGTTTAGACAACCATTATTTGAACGTCGCTTGAAAATAAAATAAACAGTTAATGTGACGAAATATTTTCCTAATGAAAAGAACACGTACTTGCAAACAGTCTGAAGTGTTCTTTGCTCTATTCTGTTGCAATCTAAGTTTTTGGGGAGTTTTTGTTTTTTCCCAATATTTCACTCATTTTGGCGGACGAAAAAATAGCAAAATTGAGAGGGTAAAATCGCACCTTGGTACATGGCATGGGGTTATATCGAGTTAATCCAGCGAAATGGTTAGATATTCTTGTCTTCTCGGATAGGGACGAATAAATGGAGGTCCCGCCTCCTGCAGGGTTAGGGGCAGGAGACGTTAATTTCCCACACACGAGATTACTGTGTGATGGATGTCCTCCCCTGGGGNAAAAATAGCAAAATTGAGAGGGTAAAATCGCACCTTGGTACATGGCATGGGGTTATATCGAGTTAATCCAGCGAAATGGCTAGATATTCTTGTCTTCTCGGATAGGGACGAATAAATGGAGGTCCCGCCTCCTGCAGGGTTAGGGGCAGGAGACGTTAATTTCCCACACACGAGATTACTGTGTGATGGATGTCCTCCCCTGGGGTGGGATGGGTGGGTAACAGGACCCCCGTTGATACCAGTGTTTACTACACTGAAGGGGCTATCCTGTATAAGTAAATAAAGATGTCTGTCTGTCTTCCTTCATATTCAGTATTATTTGTTTGGGAACCTTAAATTATACTTGAATGCTTGTGAAGGATTCTTTTCCACTTAGTTCACCTCCTCCTCTTTTTCATTTACTAATCTGATGACATTGTTTTTCAAGCTTCATCAGATAAGCTTTCATAGCTCATCTTATCAGTGGTAATTTTTTACATCTTGATTGGTGTAGGAACAGATTTATACTTGTCATGTTATTTTGCCTGTACTTGCAACGTTGTTCCACTTTTGAAGCTGTAAGCTTCCTACATTAATAGATGGGAGAAGATTTATGCGAGTAGGTCTTGTCCTGTATACAAGTGTCTGGGAATCATGACGAAACATCAAGCACTTAGCTCGCAATAACTAATACGATCCTTTGACACTTTCGATATACATACGTAAAATGAACGTCTTCACGTGTAACACACAATCAGATGACTTGTGCGTTAATAATCTTTACCACGGTGCACTTTTGCGCAGTTGTGTATATGTAATGGAAACCTGTGGCTACTTGGAGCTTGTTGGAAGGCCTTGTGGTTGCAGTGGTTCCGACAAATGCTTTATGTGAGGCGATCGAAATATACGCCTTTTATGATCCTGCGCGAGAACTTATGTCAAACCACTTTCAGAATGTAACATAAACGGTAAGTGATTTAATTCACTCTACTGGTAAATCTCTGAATTGAGATGACACTGAGAATGGCAATAGTATTTAACATTAAATAGTAATGCTGATATACAGATCATAAACTATCTTATCCACATACTTACAGTTCACTGTGATGCTGGCCGTAGCTATCGCAGGCGTCCCCACTCCATTAATAGCCATGCATTGATACTCGATTCTGCTGTTTGTTGTCCTAGGTCTGGTTATATTCACAATGGTAAGTAGCAAGCCATTGTGTGGAACATCAGAACTGTCAACCTTAGTCCATTTTATACTGGGTTTTGGTTTGCCAGAAGCAGCACATGTCAAATTCAAGTTGCTTCCTTCGACGACAGTTTTTACTTCTGGTGAGACCGTGACTTGTGGGGCATCTGGTGAAAAGTAGACTGGCTAATAAACTTCGGTAAAAATACATTTCTTTTGAAAGATTATGAGAGAACTCATAACTATCTCTGTAGGCTTTTATTATTTTCATATGATAAGACACCGTTACATTGACAATTTTATTGCTGAGATTAAGGTTACTGTAAGCTAAATTCGGTCGAAATTTCGTCTATTTGCTCTTCAGTTAGAGAGAGCAGTTAAGTTTTATTTGTGTTAAAAAATACAAATCTTAATAAGAGCGCGAGATAAGGCTGAAAAATTTTCTCAAGGGAACCTGTACCGAAGAGCGAAAGGTGTCCTAATCGGAAAGACCTCCAGCAGAGTGTTAACGTTTTCCGCGGGCTTTCGTTCGGAATCGTAATTTGCATATATATCTACATAAATGCACGTTAAGCATATATATAAATGAGAAAAGATTCTTCATGAGACCGCAAGAAACAGTCGCGAGAGAGCCAGGGCCGAACCTTGCTTTGCCCATTTTTCCATCTCTCTATCTCAGCAATGAATTTTAGGATTTCGTTAATTTCTTTTCCCCCGTTTCGCGAAATGACATTTCCCGCAAATTTCAAGGGAGTTCTTTTTCACAAGACTTGCTACGGGAGCTCGATGTAAGGAAGTAAGTTAGTAGGTAAGTAAGTAAGTAAAGACTTTATTTAACGAGGGTAGCACTAAAATAGTAAAAAAATACTAACAAACCCGAGGCCCTCTAAAATTATGTACATTACGGATGTTAAAAACTATGGCATAACTATGAGATAATATAACGAATAATATACAAGAGATAAGAGATAAAATCAGTTAATAGTACAAAAGTATAACTAAATCACAGAATAAAATTATTTAAAAGCTGCTGTTCTTCAAAGAATTTTTTCCAAAGAGAGTTCCTAAAAGAATTTAGCGACGCTATTTTCCGCATGGATAGCGGTAAGCTGTTCCAGGCTTGACAGGCAGTCACAGTAAATGTTCTTCGTCCTTCATGACCATATTAACACAAGCTTAAATGAGGTGCGAAAACTTTGAATTTCTTTGGAGGCCGAAACTCAAGGTTTGCTTTTACGCGAGTTACCTCTACTTAAAGGAATTAATAGGATGTGTGGATTTGTTGGATTTTCATGAACATCGGCCAGAATGTTCGTCAGATATTAACACTTTTACGAAACTCGAAATACTTCTCTCGTGTCGTTCCAGAGGGTGGCAAGAACCGAAATTTCAAAATGGATTTTCTCAGATAGCTTATCATCGGCAGAGAGACATACTCGAGTTTGTTTGGAGGTCTGTGGTAATTTGGAGGCAGGTAATTCATTCTCTACTGATAAAAAAAGATTCCTTAACGAAAATATGGCCGAAGGATTTCCATCCCATATTTCTATACCAACATTCTTACTGTTTATAATGTTTCCATAGGAAACTGAAAGGAGATCATTCAATAAATATTCAGAATGGCAATTTTATAAACAGGCATAGATCAGGGAAAAAAAATTAAGAATGTGAGTATTAAAAAACAAAAAATACAAAAAAATACAAATGTATTTGCATAAAGAGCTAGCGTTATCACGATCATTTGTTGACAATTTTTCATGTTTAATAGAACTATTTTCTCATCCGCTTAAAAAAAAACAACAACAACAACATCAATCTAAGGACTCCCCGCTAAGAACAATGCTTTACTATTCTCTTTATACAGAGATGTTTCGAAGTAAACTCACCAACAGCTGTAACAATGACACTAGCATTCTTTCCAGCACCGACTGTGTTGAATGGAACACACGTGTACAAACCATCAGACACTACAGCAACATTAAAAATCCCTGATCTGCTAGTCTCGACGAGGCTACCATTAAGGTACAAATGAAATTGAGCTTTAGGACTCGCATCAGTTTGGCATGTTAAACTGAGTAGACTTCTTCGAAGCACTGTGGTGTTATTAGGAACTGAAATGAAATTTGTGCCACGAGGACCATCTAGAGAAATAGAATAAAATCGAGGGACTAAAAAAGGCTTATCTTCGAATGCTCTTAGCGGGGAGTCCTTAGATTGATGTTGATGTTGTTGTTTTTTTTTTTTAATGAGAAAATAGTTCTATTAAACATGAAAAATTGTCAACAAATGATCATGGTAACGGTAGCTCTGTATGCAAATACATTTGTATTTTTTTGCATTTTTTTTTGTTTTTTAATACTCACATTCTTAATTTGTTTTCCCTGATCTATGCCTGCTTATAAAATTGCCATTCTGAATATCTATTGAGTGATCCCCTTTCAGTTTCCTATGGAAACATTATAAACAGTAAGAATGTTGTTATAGAAATATGGGATGGAAATCGTGTAACATAACTAACCATTCATTTGAGCTTTTCTCGACTTTTCTACAACAACTGTTCTTTAAGGTCGTCACGCAGCCAACAAAAAATTTCTCATCGTTACCATCTAAAATGAGCATGGAAAAAGCTCCAATGGACCCTTCATTGACCCTTCATAGACGAAAAGCTCAAAAAACAAAATTTTCAATATTACGAAATCATAATGCTGAGAAAGGTGATCGTTTGGTCTCAAATACAAATGCACTCTAAAATATAATCAAACAAAAACAAAATAGAGAAAAAATATTACGAAAGGACTGTCTGTTTTGGGGAAAACGTTATACTGATACAGCAACATACGTTCTTAAGTTACACTCACCGAAAGAATGCTTTGGAAGCAAAACTTTTTAAATTCGCCGTGGACACCTTGGCCACTCCGAACTCCTCCAACAGCATGGACAATAATGCAACTATTCAGGGGCGATTTGCATGGGAAAGAACAATCACCCTATCAACCTTTTAAAAAAAAAAACCTGAACTGGTTTTCAATAAAGACAAACTCGCCTCGCTCCTTTGGTTTTTCTTTTTGCACCGTGTTGCTTGGGCAAACGATGAGAGGTGTTTATCGGAAGAGGCGTTTTGCCCATCTTATCTTGAAGTTAGTTTGGTTAAACTCTTACAAGCAAGAGTGTCATGTAAAAGCCTATGTTCCTTATTTTGTGCTTGTCTAAATATCTGGCTCTTTAATAATCTCGCCTAGATTTTACAATAATTTCGTCATCGCTCGTTTTCGCATCCTTGTGACACGTGGCTACGTTGTTTACGTTACGTTCGAACGCCACACGCAACTTGCCCTATTAGTTTATGTTAAAATTAGTTCTCAAGCGGTTCTCATTTATTTTTTCGAAGACGGTTTTTTGTGTACATTTCTTTTCTTTTTCCTGATGTCTGGTGCATGAGAAATACACAAAGTCGTTTGAATTCCTATAGTCCAAGATAATAAAAAGTAATGAATTGGGCGGATCACATTCAAATCTCCCGTGACACTACGCCATCAATTGGAGATTTTCCTTTATGGAGGAGCAAACCTATGAAGGGCCTTCACCCTTGCCCTGCGCTTACTCCGTTTGAAAACGCTTTAAGTTGCACCTATTCCCCCCAGCTAAGGTTTCGCTAAAAACGAACATAAAATGCGATTCTTAATTTGAGCTAGACCAACAAAATGTTCTAGATTTTTGTCAGTGTGATAAAAGGAGGTGAAGTGGTAATTATAACTAGCTTATAAAAGGTTAGTTTGCCTAGTTATGCAAATTTTTTAAAGCGAAGCCAATAATATTGCGAGTTCAAAGTTTTAAAATGAGGTAGTCGGGTACGACTAGAAAAATCTCATAATGACCAATTAATTATTTTCATGATGAGTATGATTAGAAGTATTTTTATTCTTAATTTTATTGCTTATTACAGCTATGAAATTTCATATAATTACATATAATTATGGAACATTGATCGCCTAAAAGATACCAATTCACACAATAGAATACTTACAGTGTATTGTCACTGCTATCACTCCTTTTATTCCATTAGCATAAAGATTGAACGGGATACAACTGTAATTCAACATGAGTACTCTTTCATTAACTGAAGTTGTAATCACTCCATCATTGTCTGAGTCATTTAAAAACTCATTTCCTTTGTAGAATCGATACTTTGCAGGTGGGTTGCCCTGTGCACTGCAGGTAATACTGAATGTCGTATTTACAACAACGGTATTAGCAGTCAAATTGGTTGTCTTAATAGTGTTTTCTGGGCGGTGTCCTAGAGTGAAATCAAAACAGTTGGTATGAACATACAGTTTACGTTAATAAAATTCTACATATACAGTATTAACTAAGTACCTAATTGTTACCTCCGAAAGACAATGAATACAATGTACTTTTGAGAGCACATTTTCAAATTTCACAGGTAAAACGAAATAAAGAGCCACATAACATCGAATAAGTTTTGTTACTAATCAGTTGCAGAAAACATTTATACTCACACCTCTTTGGGAGTTGCAAGTTCTAGAGGAATGATAGGTCAGACATTCTAAAGGGAATGCAGAATGCTGGCTATTGTGGTAATGATCCCAGTAGTATTCCCTCTGACTTTGTTGTAATTCAACAAAACAAGGAATCTTCGGCAAATTTCTTCGTAACTCGCTAGATGTGTTTGGAAATCTGGGACAAAAGTTATGTGAGTCGTTAAGATTACTACGTAACCTGCCTTCTAAGGCAAAAATATCCTTTACTCTTACTTGGCCCAACATGTATATTGGAAAAGAGTTCTCAAGAGTAGTTCTAAAAATTTGGAAAGGCTAGATGCCGGTTCAGGTTAAAGCTCGTGTAGAGTGGAAACCATGTGGATCATTAAAAGTTCAGCGAGATTATAGTATATCAACTGATAATAAAGTTGCACAGCGAAGTAGTGATAATTATTTGAGCGATACTGTCAAGAATAAACCGCCAAGAATACACGGTTTTCATCTTCGTAACTGAAGTCTTGACAACCCTTGCTACGCCGGGCTATTGTTGTACCAAACTGTATACAAACCCGCGTCACGTCTTCGCAGTTGGAGTGGTGTTGTGCTTGATTGTTGGATGCGCGAAGAAAAGTTTTCGAGATAGAGACATTTATTTTGCTCGAGTACCTTCTATTATCTTAACTCAAGGAGTAGAAGCTGAGGAGCT